AATTATTAAAAGTTGGATTCTATCAAGAAGGAAATTGAACCCAGAAGTAGGTTACACCATCACAGAGCAATGACACAACAAAGAAATTGGACATGTTAATAAACTTAAGTAATCTAAACAAATGGCTGCCCCTGTGTTAGGATTTGAGTACAAATAAAATGTTTTGCCAATTGAGTATGGAACTGCTCAAAATTGGTGCTGATATCTGAAATTCTTCTGTCTGTGATGACGATTTTCACTTCAGGCAAAGATTTTTAACAGGAGGTCCATGGATGGAATGGAACTCAAGCCATCTACGAACTTCCTAAAATTAGAAGTGACATAGTTTGTGTATGTGTAGTATTTCTGCAGATATGATTCTTGGCTTTCATCAGACATTTAAAGGGGCTTAGAACCTGAACAAGTTTAAGAACTCCCGGATTAAGGTATTGTCCTGTATTAAAATGAAATTACGTTGATACTTAACTTGCTGTGAAGTTGAAATATGATGACCTAAATTTGAATATTGTATCTGTTCAATATTTGTGGAACCATTGAAGCCCTGGACAAACTTTTCTTCTCATTGTAGCCTGTGCAGTGCACAACTTGTGTAGCTGTACAAAGCAGTAATGCATCTGGCCCCTGTGATGTTATTCTCCATCACCGTTAGTATTTGATTATCTCTGTTGTGATTTTCTAAAGGGAGTCACTATGGAGCTATCAGAAGAGACAAAGCTTTTAAGTGACCAATTTCAGACTATAACAATGCTATTGTTTTGTTGGTTGAGCACATATGTCATATGTTGTCCAAGTGGGCGGTTATGTTCAAGTATTATCTTTCCCAGTTGAAATTTGATACTAAACCAACTATTAACTGACCATGTGCAACTTGTGTTTTTATAATACAATTGTAATGTATGTTAGATATGTGCCTTTTGTGTGTGATTTTAATTCCACTTCTCTACTCGTTCAGTTAGTTGTTGAGCACTCGTGTCAGGCCATTTACTGCACTAGGTGTGGTCATGGATGTAGAGTTGAATGTGGTGGTCGGTCGTGTGGCAGAGCAATTACTTTGATTCAGGCTAGAGGGTGGCAGGCCATATCAGTTCCTCAGTCCTAGCTGAAGGCCTAGCAAGGTCAAGAGGAAGCTGTTGCTAAGAGGACGGTTTTCCCTGCCTGTCGCTTGGGGTGTCACCCTCCAGGCAGAACGAAGAACACGCCTTCAGGAGGGCTGCTGTGAAGGCTATGCTTCCTCCGGTACCTCAAACGTCAGAAATGCCTGTTTTGCATGTATAATTAGGATCGTAGTAACACAATCTGTTTCTAAGGCGCTCATGGTTGAAGGTAGAGCCCAGCCACTGGTTAAAGCCCTCAGACTTCTCCCCCCCAGTCCAGGACCTCCTAGTGGCTGCCAGCACTCCCCAGGGCTGGGGATCAGGTGCCCTCATCCCAGTGCTGCTGGGGAGAAGACAGTTCCCAGTCTGTTTCCGTTTCCTCCCTCGGGACAAGGGTGAAGGGAATCTCAGAGCGGGAAGGGAAGTCCTGTGTCATGTCGTTACCAACAGCATGGAGAAAGTTAAAATGAGCGGGTTTCCTCTTTTCATTGGTGGAATCCTCCCACCCCACCCCCCCTTTTTGCATGTAATATTGAGAGATTTTCAGTTGTGGTTAAATAAGATGATAATCTCTTCCTATTTTTTTTTAAATGCTAAAGTGAAATAATAAGAGCTAGAGTTTTGAGACAGGACTTTTGTGGACAGTGCTGAATATTGGAGGAAAATGCACGCTAGACTCTGGTCGGCCAGCCTCCCTGCCTTAGTTTTTTGCAATTATATTAGGACCAATTAGATTACAACTCAAACTTTACAAACCCATTTAGCGAGATAAGAAATTTACTTAACTGTGTTATACTCTAAATTGTAAATGAAATTCAAGAATGACTGTTTAAATAGTTGGGGTTTTAAATTGAAATTTTTTCCCCATGGTATTTTATAACTATATGATTCACCATAAAGATTGGCTTACAGAGTTTTTAAAATATTGATGTTACTTTATTTTTTTCAGTTAAATTGAGGTTACTATTTTAAAAAAATGGATTCTGGCCTCTTCTTTGTATCCCTCAAACTACTACTTTCTCTGCCATTCCTAGAACTAGTTGGAGAGTATTATTCAGCCTAAAAGTAGAATAAAATAAGCACAATTTTTTTGTTGAAAAGCTAAAGAAAAGCACTGTTCATGCTGTTCTTCCCTTAAAATGGGAAACCAAGTGTTTCATCCCGTATTTTTATTATCAGGTTACACATACAGTGAGGTAGATTGTGTGGGTGTGGGTGGGGGTGTGACCTTCCGCGCATGTGGTACATGGGGGACTTGTGTGGCCAATAGCGTAACTGAACTGGCTGATGGGAACAAGCAGCTGTGCTGTCCTGTCTGCAGAGTGCTTCCTTTCTTCTTTTTCTCTGAAGGGTTCCGTTGCTGCCTCTTTTTCCTGAGAGCCCATAAGTCTTTCACTAGCCCTGAGACAATGAGAATTACCTGTCGCGACCTCGTCTGTGGTCCAGGACCCCTTTCCCCTGTTGGTTGTGGCTGTGGTGGGCGATGGGTATTGGTTTTGATTCTAGGTCTTAGTGTCTGTGACTGAAAGTCACCCCCTCGGCCCCATCACTGCCATGGCTCAACGAACGCTCTAGGTTGAAGATGTAGTGGTTTTAATTTGCATCCTGGTGCTCTTGATGAAACCACCCCAGCTCATTCACATCATTCATTCAGCACATACTCGAGTGTCTGTCCTGTGCCAGGCACTGTCCTAGGTGTGCGGAAGAGATTTGCATAAGCCACAAAAATGGTGGTGCTCCTGGAGTTTCCGTGGGCTCCTTGATAACTTTCAGTCGTCCGCCTCCTGGAGTGAGGCGTCATTTCCCCAAGTCATAGAAATGTGTTCATACACAGGACCTTTTTTTTTAGCTTCTAGTTTAGCATAACGGATGAATAAGACTGTGCTCAGGGAGTTTGTAAGAGAGACAGACAGACAGGCAGACAGGAAAACATGTAAACACTTTGCTGCCCAGAAGGCTGGATCCATGCTAGAATGAAGGCAGAGGCGGTGGAAAGGAGTAATTCTTCAACTGGGGCCTAATTTTTATGATTGGGGTGCTGTTCAGCTTAGCCTTGTGATCTCCTGTGAGCGCTTAGAGCAGCGGTTCTCAACCTTTCACAGGGGTCGCCTAAGACCATCGGAAAACACATATTTTCGATGGTCTTAGGAACTGAGACACTGCTCCTCTATCCATCTCCAGGCCCACATGCAGATACGCCCACATACGAGTACCCGGCGACCCCTGTGAAAGGGTCGTTCGACCCCCAAAGGGGTCGCGACCCACAGGTTGAGAACCTCTGGCTTAGAGGGTCTGGGTGTGGGGTACGGGTGGGGGCTGGGTTTAGCTGGTGATGAGGGTGGAGGGCATGGATGGTCAAGGCCAAGTGTTGGAGGGCCTGGGCTGTAGGCCAGAGCCTTCTGTGGGCAGAGTAGCCAGTGAGCTTCACAGAATGGCAATGACATGACTGGCCCTCTGTTTTAAGAGAGCAACTGAGGGCAGTGCGTGAGATGTAGTGACAGCAACAGCTGTCAGGGGGCGAGCAGGGGGACCTGCTGGATGAGTTTTTTTACTCATTCAACATACATTTTTTTTTATTAATTAGGAACTCTTTTTATGATCAACTGTATATGAGAGTATTTGCCTCCCCAAACTCACCAAAAGGAAATATTATTGTCCTTTTAAAATTCTTGTTAATCTGTCAACAAATTTGTCTTTAAGACATTATTTTAAATGTAATATCTTTTTCTTATTGATTAGTTGAGCAAAAGTTAATCCTTGATCTAGTCAGGTTTCCTGTAATTGATTCTATTTTGGTAATTTGTACTCAGCTAGAAAATGTTCCACTTTATTGAGATTTTAAAAATTAAATTTATTGGGGTAATGTTGGTTAATAAAATGATATAGGTTTGAAGTATACAATTCTATAATACAGCATTTATATATTGCATTGTGTGTTCCCCGCCCAAAGTAAAATCTCCTTCTGTCACTGTATATTTGACCCCCTTTACCCTCATCTACCACCTTCCCTCCTCCCTTACCCTCTGGTAACCACTAAACTGTTGTCTGTGTCTATGAGTTTTTGTTTGTTTGCCTTGTTCATGTGTTACTTTCAGATTTGTATTCCACATATTAGTGAAATCATATGATTCTCTACTTCTTCTGTCTGACTTATTTTGTTTAACATGATAATCTCAAGATCCATCCATGTTGTCGCAAATGGCAGTATTTCATATATATATTCAACATATACTTAGCCGGGGCTTTCCTTGTATTTATATGTATAAGTTATTACCAGTCTTAGATGCTATTTTAAGAAGAGTGTAACCAATTTAATGCCCTAACTCATATTTCAAGCTTGAAGTTTACGTTTTTGTTTCTTTTTGAATAGCGAATGAAAGATTCATATGAAGATGACTTTAGAGGGTAGCGACTTTGCGGGGCGGGTGGACAGCTTGGTCTCTGCTGCTGAGTTTCCCTGGCTCTCTGCTTCGCTAGTCAGTGATGTATAAAAATGCAGTTATCTGCTCTGCTGTGAACACAGATGGATACCGTTCTCACAATGGCTGGATAAACTGATGCCATTTATGTTTTGTGATAAGAGCCACAGAGAAAAACTAGAAGAAACATAACGGGTTGCCCTGACAAAATGCTTCCACTGCCCCGAAGGAGCCAGACCTCTTCTCTTGCTCAAGGAGGGATACGGCATTTTAAACATGTGGTGGTGGTTATTCATTGTCCTTTTTTCTTAAGGTAGGAAATGTTGTTCTTTGGACTGAGTTGAATGCTGCTCAGCATAAAAGACGTGATGTGGAACAAAGCCTGCAGACTGTGACTAATTGACATGCACTGGGCTAGTGGGAAGACAGAATGCCTCTCTAATCAGCAGCAGAACAAACACTCACAGGGGCTCCCCGTCTCTCCTAGGACTTCCTTCGCCGGGCATCTGGCCGGGATTCTTGTCGGACTCCTGTACACTCTCGGGCCTCTGAAGAAAATCATGGAAACATGTGCAGGTACAGAACAAAACACCTTGGGCATGACAACAGCGTGGAAGTTCATCTTAATTTTAACGGGAACAGAAACAACCCCAAGTTACCCTGTGGTTCCGCTTAGGAATCCCCTAATCATCTCTTTTCAAACCAAGAGGTAAAACAGCTGGTGCAGGTCTTCACACTGTTCCAAGGGGGCTGCAGACCCAAATTTTAAACCTGAGGCCCACTTAGGGGACAAATCCCGGTATGTATGTATGTATGTATACCCTCAGCATTAATGCTCCTCAAGGAAAACCACGATTTCCGTGAAAATGCAGAGAACTAAAGTGAATTTAAAATGATGCATTATTCTCTAATATTCCATGAATTGACATATATGCAAGGCAAAGTTAAAACAGAAAAATCTGTACTGAAGTTCAAGGCCAGTATTTTAAAGAAATTAGAATGACCACTAGGCCCTTGGCGGGAGAGACCTATATTCATGCATGGCCAAACCAAGTCTGTTATTGCTTAAAGCTTGGCTCCTGCTTTTTAATTTTTGTTTGGTTTTGTTTTGCTTTTCGTTTCCTTCAAATTCATACTCAATAAAAATACTTTTACTTTATTTAGAAATATATAAATTTTTTAGACCTCAATTTAAAATCTATACTGGTTTTGAATTATAAGGAAACTACTTCGCAAACACTTGTTTTATAGACCGTATGCATTCGAATATTTCATCTTTTATTCATGGGAAATCTCCTGAGACTATTTTACCTTTTCTTGAACCATAAATAATTTGTTTTCACCGTTTGTGCCGATGACTGGTATTCTTGAGAACCATGGGATATTCACGATACTCGAAAGCTTTCCAGGCACTGTACTTTTACCTTCATTAGCAGGTCGTATTCACTTTCGGGTGATTTTTACGGGCTAGGCCTCATCTAAGCAGAATCCCAATTCCCCATATTTGCTTATTACGGCCTTTCCAGTGTATATGCTTAGAGGAGGCCATGGGAGCTTCGTTTATTGAAAATTCCAGATGTATTGTGTTTCTGATACAACTTAATCACGGAAATTGAGTGGTGAGTGTTGTTGCCCAAATGCTGTCAGTGCTGATAAAGGAAAAGAAATGATTATCGGGAGTTGAATGTTTTGTCTCATTTTTCTATGTGTGTCTGAAGATTAAGTGGTTAGTAAAGCTTTCTGCAGCAATATTACAACAATTTAGGCAAGTATTTGGGTTTTAAAGAGGATTTTCCTCACAATTATAATATTTAAAATCTGAGATTTCCATCCTAAAACCGTGCCTCTTTTCCCTGGAGACTTATTTTTACATCATTCTATTTTCAAAATATTAATAATACCGTAGAAAATTAAATACTAAAAGTTGAAACAAGCATTCAGTGCTATTTACAAATAGCCTGCACTCTCTGTGCCTTTTTCGCTGGTGACACCAGAGAAAGCTCTAGAATGATCTGAGAATGGAGGTGACCCAGGAGCCCCATGGAAAATAACGAAGCCCGTGAGGGCCGCTGCCTGCTCGCTCCTGGAACAGGAGCCTCACACACGCGTGCCCGCGACCCCTCCCTTGGTCCGTTTGTTGGGTAGTGCTTGTCCTGCCGCCCTTTTAAGGGGAAAGTCCCCTGGGAGGAGTGAGGCGCATGGCTCTCCTAACAGTCTTGTTGGGCACACGTTCTGTGGGTAGCCAGAGCATCCCCATTTGGACAGAGGCCTCCAAGCTCAAGCGTGGTACCTTTGAGCAAAGACCACCTGATGTCAACAGGAACCTTTAAGGAACTTCAGAGAGTGTAAGCTGCGGTTTCATTGTTCCCCACACGTTCTTTTCCCTTTGGGGCTAACCCCAAACCAAAGAGAGTTTATTTTAACAATTGTTTAGAAGTCATTTGAAATGACCTTAAACTTTGTTATAAAGAACCTCCCAGTTGTTGGAACGATTAGCAGTTAAAACCTTGTGGCTATTCTATTCCATTGGTCCATGTGTCTGCTTTTATGCCAGTCCCATGCTGTTTTGATTTGTTTAGTTTTGTAATAGTTTGAAATCAGGAAGTGCTGCGATGGCTATTTTCAAAAAGACAAGAGATAATGAGTGTTGGTGAGGATGTGGAGAAAAGGGAACCCTGGGACCCTGTTGGTGGGGATGTAAATGGGTGCAACCATTGTGGAAAAAGAGAAAGGAGGTTCTTCAAAAAAATTAAAACTAGAACTGCCATATGATCCAGCAATTCCACTTCTCAGCATACGAGTATATCCAAAGGCAATGAAATCAGTGTCTCCAAGAGACGCCTGCACCCCCATGTTCATTACAGTGTTGTTCACAAGAGCCAAGACGTGGAAACAACCTGAGTGTCTGTTGATGGATGAATGGAGCAAGGAAATATGATATATACCCATAGACACACACACACACACACACACACACACACACACACACACGATGGAATATTATTCAGCCACAAAAAGAAGGAAATCCTGCTATTTGCAACGAAGTAGATGAACCTAGACATTATGCTAAGTGAAATAAACCAGGAAGAGAAGGACAAATACTGTATGATCTTACTTATATGTAGAATCTAAAAAAGTCAAACTCATAGAACCAGAGAGTAGAACCCCTAGGGGAAATGGGGCGATGTTGGTTAAATGGTACAAACTTCTAGTTATAAGACAAGTGGGTTCTGGAGATCTGGTCTGTAGCATTCTGACTGTAGTTAATACTGTATTATATACTTGAAATTAACTGAGAGAGGAGACCTTAAGAATTCTCACACATACACAAAGATGTCAACTGTGAGGTGATGGATGTGTTAATTAACTTGATTGTTGTAATAATTTTATAATGTATATGTATATTAAATCTTCACATGTACGGCTTTTAAAGAACCACGTTGTACAACCTAAATATATACAATTTTTACTTGTCAATCATACTTCAGTAAAACTGGGGGGTGGGGGAGAGCCTTATGGCTGCAATTAAAATGTGTTTTTCCTTCATCTTTAGGCTTTTTTTCCTCCAATATTGGTTACCCACGACAGCAGTACTACTTTAATAATTCAGGTAAGCACTTTATTTCATTTAATAAATTAAAAAATTGTAACCTTCGCCGCTGTAGAGCACTTTAAGGTCACTGCTAACTTATGCTGTTGTAGAGTAGTTCACACATTATGTATTGTAATTGTGCTTCTAACGTGCCTGACAGCTAGATGGAAGCGTAGCGTAGGGAGCGTATTTGGGTGGGTTGGTAGAGAAGGCCAGGAAAGGAGATAACTCTGTCATGAAAATACTGTATGATTAGTGTCAGGCCTCTCAGACGTGTTAGATTCGTACTAGACCTAGTTTCCCTTTATTCTAAGCCTAAGGAAACGCTTTGCTGACTAAGTGTTAGAAGTTAGTTTCAGACACACAGTTCTCCCTAGGCCACCCCCACTATGTATTCAGGAAGAACCATGCTTATCCCAAGAGGCTAAAACAGGAATCCCTCTCATAGTTAATACCACGTGATGTTCTCGACGTCTGTGTGAACAGGCAGAAAGGACTTCCTGTTCAAGCATCAGCCCTGTTTTAGGCTACGGCCCTTACCTTCCAGCCTGGGGAGGCGGCACTGCATCCTGGACCAGGACCAGCTGACAGGTGTTCGAGACACCGGAGGCTATGGAAGCACTGGGTGTCTTTTATCGTTGTGCCAACTGAGAATCGCTATAGCTTAGTTCTGGGATCTGCAATCTTTTATGCAAAGGGCCAGAGAGCTAATGTTTTAGATTCTAAGGGCTTTGTTGGCCATATGGGCTCTGTCCCAACTAGTCAGCCTGTCATTGTAGCATGAAAGCAGCCATAGACAATTCACAAAGAAATGGGTTTAGCTGTGTTCCAATAAAGAAAGCCTTATCAGCAAAAAGGAGGCAGTGCAGTGGATTTGGACCGTAAGTTGTAGCTTTTTGACCCCTGGCTTATAGCCTCCATTTTTCTCCTCATTATAGTCATGTTTTTCTTTAAATCAGGAGCATAGTGATGATAGCTGCCTTAAAGCCCCTGACTGCTAATTCTGTTCTCTAGATAGATCGATCCATCGATCGATGGATTGATAGATAGATAGATAGCATCTGCTTCATTGGACTGACTTTCCTCTTGGTTGTGGGTTATACTTTTTGCTTATCTGGGAAGATGTGATTGGATGCCAGCCATTATGGCTTTTGTGGTGTTGAATTCTAGGTTTTATCTTCTTTTAAAGAAAACTAGACTTTGTTCTGGTGTAACACAGTTCCGTTTCTTGATTTGTTTGATCCTTCTGGGGCCTGTTTTTAACTTCTTTCCAGTGGATGTAAAATAACTTTTACCCTAGGGTTAAGTGTGTACTGCTGCTGAGGCGCTACTTTCCTGGGCTCGCACCTGAATGCCATTTGTTCAGCAAGGACTCTGTGCTCAGGCAGGTGAAATGCAGAGGTCTCCCAGCCCTGCCTTAGCTCTGGGAACTGGTTAGCTTATAGGTCTTGGCCATTCTTTGCCTGCTGTCATGGAATTTCACTTGTGCACACATGGCTTCATATTCAGCAAAATCTCCAGGCGACGCCGTGCCGATTTCTGGGGGTTTCTCTGCTGTCCACATCGTTTTCTCCTGTGCTGTCCTCTGCCTTGCAGAGTCCAACTCAGTCAGGGAGCTGGCTGCATCTGTTTGTCTTCCCCATCCCGGCACCACCGCCCGGAAGGCGCCTCCAGGCTCCTTTCCTTTCCTTTCTTTCTCTCAAGGTTCAAAATCCTGTACTGCCTGGGATCCAACGTCTGGAAACATTTGTTTCTTATATGTTCTCCAGTCTTCTCCCTGGTTATTGCGGGAGGGCTAGTCCCACCTCAGTTACTCCTTCCTGGCAGAAGCCGGAGTCCAATCAAGCAGTTGTCATGTAGGGCACTCTGTGCTCAGCCTGGGAGGGAGGGGTAGGGTTGCAGTTACTTGAGGCTCCCCCGCAGGAAGTGGGGTGCTGGGTCTTGATGAATGCGTGGAAGTTAAGGAGCTCAATGAGAGGAAAGGGCCCTTTATGAAAAGGCCTGTTTGGAATTAATTATCCAGAATGGGCTGGGGTGCCGCTGAAGGATTTCATCAGTAGGGCGATACTATTGGAGTTACATTCAAGCTATGTTTTTGATGTCGTTCTAAAGACTGGGGTTATGGTTATCAATCCTGTCTGTCTATGTGAATCACCTGAGGAGCTTTTATAACTTCTCCATGCCTGGAATTCACCCCAGACCAACTAAATCAAAATAAGGATAAATTTTTTCTCTTTCTTTTAAAGCTTGCTAGGTGATTCTGATGGGATCAGTAACAAAAGTCATAGGCTTATATGATTGGGGTTACCTAGGCTTGGGGACCACCGAAGTGAAGACTGTCATTGCCCCCAAGAAGAGGCTTCCTTTCTGAGGTTTCCAGAGCTAGTGAGGTGGATGCTTACAGTCCTGGAAATGTGGTCGTGCTGCAGGAGAGGAACAGTTGCTGGACACGGTCAGCTCACCTGCTGCTGTGTCTGGACTCACCTGAAGAGAGGAGGTGTGATGATGGGTTGTGGACAAAGCTCACAAATACAATTGACTCTTGAATAACACAGGCTTGGGCTGCACAGGTCCCCTTATACGTGGATTTTTACAATAAATATGTACAGTACTATAAATGTGTTCTCTCTTCCTGATGATTTTCTTAATAATATTTCCTTTTCTCCAACTTTATTGCAAGAATGCAGTGTATAATACATATAACATACAAAATACGTGTTAATTGACTGTTGGTGTTATTGGTAAGATTGCCAGTCAACAGTAAGCTGTGAGTAAGTTTTTGGGGGAATCAAAAGTTACTTACAGATTTTCGACTGCGCGAGGGAGGTCACAGCCCCTAACCTCCTCATCGTTCAAAGGTCAACTGTATAGGTATTTGAAAGAGCATTGGGTCCTTTTGGTTGTTGGCTCTGGGGAACAGGTTACACTGACTTAAGTATAACAAGAGCTTTATTGGCCTTTGTGACTAGGAAGAGATGGGTTGGATGGGATGACCACTGTGGTCCTATCTCCCATGGTTATTTCTCTCTTCCTGTTGGCTTTATTCTCTCCACTGGACAGGGGACGTGGCCTCTCACACCTTGAAGTTGCTAGAGGAAAATGGGCTTCTGTCCTGGTTCATTTTTTGAAATTCCCCAAAGAAACAGGGATGTTCCTCTGCAGAGGGAGAATAATAACATACTTGTGTGCAGACACGGCTTAAACTTTCATAGATTACCTAGCCCTAATGTCTTGTGTGACAGCGGGGAAGTTGAGGTTTAGAAATGTTAAATAATTTGGCTAACATCATGCAGATTGTTAAGTGATGGAACTAGGATTAAAAATGCAAGTCACTGATTCCCAGCTCCTGCTTTTTCTATTGGACAAGGGTATGCGATGGGCATTCTGCTCATTTAACCTTACAAAACTGGACCAGTCCCCTTATTGTATTTCCTTCCCCCACCCTCTTTTTTTTTTCTTTGCATTTATTTTTTTTAAAAAAGGTGGGAGGGGGAAACCTGCTCCTTTCTTCCTTCATATGCAAGAGGCATAAGCACAGCAGACACACAGAGCCTGGAATTAAAGGCAAAATAAAAGCCCCTTTTACCTTTCTTTCTTATCCCCTGTAAGATTACCATATTTATATTCCTTCCTCTGAAGTGATTGGATTTCTTCAAAGGCAGAGCTACAGAAGACCAGGTGGCCACGCTAATGGTCATCTAGGGAACTTTTATGAGAGCATATGTATCTCTTACAAATAATGATTTATTCTTAATATGGCTGTCCTTAGCCGGAAAAGTCTTTATAGGTCAAAGAACCTCATGAATGTTTAAAAAGCTGTTCCCAATTTTTCTAATCTTGGTAGTGTTTCTTGATCTCTTTTGCCATGAAGTCCTGGTATGTGTATAAGGAACAGATGGAGTAGTTAATAGAATAATGATAACCAGAATTTCTTTTACTACAGAGCCAAAATATATAGCTACAAAAGAATATTAAACTAGCATTCATCGCAGGACATAATTTAGACTTACTTATCTTAACTGTTTGATTGTTAGCTTTTCCCAGCCATGTTTATTCTGAAGATTTAAAAATATCTGATTGGGCCAGCGGAACAGCTGTAGAAAATGTTTGGTCCTAGGAGACCTGTTCTCATTATAGTAGATCTGGATGGGATTTTTGGTCTTGTTGATGATTTATGACTAATGATATAGAACCTTTAACCACAAAAGTCTTTTTGACTTAAGGCACTAAAACTTTGTCTTTCTCTCACCCCATGTTTTGTCTGACAAGTACCAAATTAGATTTTATAATATTCAGATGTTTAGAGTTGTAAACTTTATTTCATTAAGGCACTGCTGGGTTGTTGTTGTGTTTTCAGAAATAACATGAAGAAAAATGTTATTCTATACAAAAAAAACGTTGCCTTAACTCGTAGCAAATTTACCTGGAAGTTACAACTCTATAGATGTATGTGGTATTTCTGGTATCTGTCTAGACAAGTATTCGGAGCTTTTGGGTTATTTGGATTTCAGATTAGCTGAACATATTCGAAGATGGTAGATACAAGGGCTGCTTAGACCTTCTGTAACAGAACGACTTTGCACAGGGGTTTGAAAGTGGTAATGAACCATATGGGAAAGTACCCAATATTCTTTTTTTGTTGTTGTTACAATAAAATAATTGGCACTCTGAGGGAATTGGGCAGTCTGTGTTCAAGGATTGCTGAAGTGTCCCATGGTACTCAGTCACTTATCCATAAATATTCTATTACGTCTTGGAATGGTTGCCCCTCGCTTTTGTTCTTTGTGAAGTAGACGTATTGATTGTGTTTTGACCACTTGCCCATATATGAAAGTTGTCTTTTTTTGGGGGGTGGGGGTGAGAAGTATAGAAAGCAAGATTTGTAGCAGTGCCACCACGTCCTTCACGCTCAGGATATGAAATGTGCTGGTGGGTGTTCCCGAACACAGCAGTGGGAGCTGAGTTTCCTGATAGTTCTGTTGAGTAGAGACCAGCTGGAGAAAGGGAATCCATCTTTAAAGTTGCATCCAGATCCCACTTCAGTCCTAAGCCATTGTGAGGATTTGGGAAATTTGCTTATAACCTTCTCCAGTTTTCAGTATCATAATGTTAATATTTTGACATGGGAAACGTGAGGGAAAACGTGGAAGTTGGGTTATTGGAGGTATTTAGTAAATTCCCACCAATTTTTACTACGTTAGAGCAAAGCTTGTTAGAATTAGCCCCCCAAATCCTTTATAATTTTATTTAATGTTTATTTAAATCATTTATTTTTGTGACTTTTAAGGACATTCACCAAAATAACACCAAGATACAAGAATATTGTATTAATCAGTAAGAGTAGACAAAGGCTCGAAATAGACATTTCTACAAAGATATACAAATGACCAGTTAGCACAGGAAAAGATGCTCAACATAATTAGTTATCAAAACCACAGCGAGGCACCACTTAACACCCACTGAGATGGCTATAATTAAAAAGACAATAACAAGTGTTGGTGAGCATATGGAGAAATCTGAACCCATACACATTACTGTGTGAATGTAAAATGGTGCAACCACTTTGGAAAATATACTGGCAGTTTCAAGTGGTTAAACAGTTACCATATGACCCAGCAATTCCACTCCTAGGCATGCACCAAGAGAAAGGAAAACATAATGTCCACACAAAAACTTGTACACAAATGTTTATAGCAGCATTATTTACAATAGTCAAAAGGTGGAAAGATCCTAGATGTCTATCAGCTGATGAGTGAATGAGCCAAATGTGGTATATTCATACAGTGGAATATTATTTGGCCACGAAAAGGAATGAAGTACTGATTGATTCATGCTACAACACGGGTGAACTTTGAAAACATTGTGCTAAATGAAATAAACCAGACACAAAATATCATATATTATATGAGTCAATTTGTATAATTGTCCAGAATTGGCATAGCTATAGAAACAGAAAGTAGATTAGTGGATACTTAGGGCTGGGAAGGATGGGAGTGATGATACCTAAAGGCTGCAGGTTTCTTTTTGGGGGTGATGAAAATGTCCTAAAATTATTGTGATCATGATGGCACAACTCTGTGAAATATGCTAAAAGCTACTGAGTTATACACTTTAAATCGTTGAGTTGCACAGGATGTCAATTGCATCTCAATAAAACAGCTATAAAAACATAACCAGTAGACACAAATACATTACAAATATTTATATAAACACATATAATTACATTAGATAATCAGCTGACAGTAGATTAGTGTGTTTTATTATGATTTCATTATTTATATGGAAATAAAGATTTTTAGAGTGCCTGAAAATTCTTGTCAGAAATAAACTGTTTTCCTCTTAATCTTGTATATTAGGAAAGCATTTTATTCATAACCAACACAAAAGTAAGTTTTAAAACAGCCTCAGGACCAATTATCAAAAATCCTGAATACAAAATCTCAGTTTACCAGATTCTACCCTATGGTGTTTCTCTTTTTGGCTTGATTGTGTTTTTTTCCTATATTCTCATTAAAGCAATAAGAAGCTTAAACTCAGACATATACTGTGATGTCAGTTGATATGGTGACATGACACAACAAGATTCACAGTAGGGGCAGGAATTTTCATCAACAACAAAAAACACGTTAGCTAAACATTTGAAACATCATCTTCTAAGGGTAGGAAAGAAGGGAAAAAATTAAACAGACTATTACTTCTCTCCCATTACACCAGAATGAGACTGGTAATCTTCTACGGGAAAAAAATTCTGCCAAACAATTCCATAAAAGTGGGTGATTAAAGATAGTGTAAGGGGCCGGCTGATTGGTGCATTGGTTAAGAGCTGGCTTGGGATGCCAGAGGGCCCCGGTTCGGATCCCACATGTGAGGGCCAGTGACACTGCCCTCTACAGCTAAGATGGTGAACAACAGCTCAACTTGGAGCTGGACTGCTATGAGTCGCCAGCGACGGCGTAGGCCGCAATCCCTGCTGCAGTGGGTTGCCATGGGCTACCGTGTGTAGCCAGCAGCCAGCGTGAGCGGCCGTCCAGAAGCCGGCGACTGATCTGCCTCGCCCGGGAAGAGTGCAATGATGGTGCCAACTTGGGCCAGTGAAGCAACGTCCTCCACAGCTAGACTGAAGAACAAAAGGACAGCAACTTGTCTGTTCCCCTTTCCCCAATTCCCAGTACTGTTCCCATCCCCCCAATTCCCAAATAAAAATCTTTAAAAGAAATAAAAATTTAAAAAAAGACAGTGTAAGGAGTAAACTCAACGTTACTTGAAAAGGTGACTGGAAATACCGTGCTAAAGCGAGCATTGCTCTACAATTGACCTTTATTAATGTGTAATGTAAGTTAGGTACTGAAGCATTATATAATGACCAGGTTGTCTCTTCTCTCCTTCTATTGAGTAACCAATTTCTTAAAAGTACTATTAATAGAAGCGATACTCTCTGATATAGACTTATAATTACAGAGACATTGGCTTGTGTATCTCAACATAGTTATTTACTGCCCAAAGTATCATACCCAGCTCAGAAATCCGTAGTGTATGTGTTAAAAATATCTGTCTCTTGTTATATGGAGCCACTGGACAGTAAGGCTTTATCAACTATCATTTCAACCGTGCCCCTGACTCCAGTCAGGACTTCGCTGAAAATACTCCAAGGTTAAACAGCTCGAAGCTGAAAGAATCTGTTTTCATATGACTAGCCCGTTCCAATCTCCTCTCCGGTACCACTGACTATCTTCTAAATTAATACCTTCCTCTCTGTCACATAAAGCCTCCCACATGTCCGGCCCCATGTTCAGCTCTGTGGGGACAGCAGTGACAAGACAATCATTGCCCACCCTCCTGGAGGAATTCCCCATTTGTCATCTTTTCTTATTGTGAGGATTATTAATATACTAAAAATAATGACACGAATCATTGTATTGTCTTTGCTGACAGCATAGGAAGTAAGAAAAGAACAGTCCATGGCCTTGTCTGTAACCTTTGCTTTGTGTCCGTAGGCTACTCTGGGTCTCAGGATTATTACCCATATGGCAGGCCAGGTCACCCCGAGGAGGCCCCCAGGAACTACGACGCGTACACAGCAGGACTGAGCGAAGAGGAGCAGCTGGAACAAGCACTGAGAGCCAGCCTCTGGGACCGAGGTAGGAGCTCCAGCACTGATTCTTGAGCATGCTTCACACGGTGAGATGGGCTGCAAAAGGACTGTTTGTAGCAAATCCAAGTTTAAATAGTTTATTCAACAAGGATATGTAGATGAAGAAATGTGTGCAGATCGTGACTACCGAGAATGGGGTGTGATGCCGTATTTCTAGCCACCTAAGCTCGTAAGGTGCCAGACCGTGAATGTATTGTTAAAGAGGCTCTTTTCATAGGCCTGCTTGCTGCACTCAGGGCTTTGGCATTCAAGTCCAGAGACTTCAAACACAAATCGTTAGGTGCGTGACAAAAGGGCTTCACTTTGGGCTTCCTATCTGAAAGGCAGGCTGCAGGTCACCCTATATCAGCGTTGCCCATAGACCTTCCTGAAAATCACCTGGTCAGCTTGATAAGAATTCGAACTCAGGGTTCCTTCCCATCCAACCTCCTGAGCCAGTCTCTCTGCAGGGAGAACATAGCAATTTGTGTTTTTAACTGGTTTTCCCGGAGATTCTTTTACAAACTGATGCAGGAAAACCACTGCATTTTGTCATCTTTGTTTTGGGTTTGGCTTACGAGTTACTATTCATATTGTTGTAGCAGTGACTAAATATCATCTATTTGTTCAATAAGCATTTATTAAGGTCATATTGTGAGGTACAGTAGGGATACAGAGAGGTGAGAGATAGACACTGCCCACCGAAGGTCACCCCGTCTGGTAGGAGGATGCCTGCTCAGTGCCATAACGTAGAGAGGCTCAGGCAAAGGGCCGCAGGCAGTGAGAGGGGTGAGTGTTTCCTAACGAGAGCTGTCAGTTTCACAGAGGAGGTAGCGTGTGAGTTGGACCTTTAAGAATGTGTCGAGTCTGCAGAGATGTGGAAGGGCCTTTTAGGCTAGAGTCAGTATCCGCACAGACACAGGAGTAAGGGGCGTGGTCAGCCAGCCCTCACTTTTGAACGGAGTTTTAAGAGGACAGGGGTAAGAAGAGTGGGAAGCGAGGCTGGGGCCTGGTCGCAGAGGTCCTAGAATTCCACAGGCCAAGTGGAGAGTGGGCCGGCGTCTGGGTTACATGTCAGCAGAGTTCTGCATGGGGGGTGATGTGAACAGAGCTGTTTTATGAATCCGGCAACCGTCATTCTGCGAACAAGGATGGAGCACCTGTGGGAGTCCCAGGCACTATGCTAGGTGGTAGGAATACAGAAATCATGACACCTTGGTTTCTTTTTTGTTGTTCTTGTAAAGATTTTTATTGGGGGAAAGGGAACAGACAAATTGCTATCCTTTTGTTCTTCAG